AAAAAAACCAAATAAACGTTGTTTTACAAGCTGCTGGAATACCTCATTCAAAACGACGGTTCCGTAGTCTGCAAGTGGTGCGGTGAGGTGCTACCGTCTCGAACCCGTTGGTACAGGCACAAGTACAAACTCCACGTCTCCACCCAGGTCACCCAGCCGGCGCCGCTGTTCAAGTGCCACAGCTGTAACACTTACTTCAAGTCCCGCAAGGGTTACATCGGCCACCTGAGCTCCCGTCACTCCGACAACGAGAACGACGAGAACAGAGAAGAGCCGACCAACAAGAAGGCCCGCAAGACCTCCGACGTAAGTCTTGAACAAGCCCTGTCATCCCTCACGATCCGCGTGATCGTAATTTTCGCTTTACAGCCAGTCGCACTCCTCGTGTATCTCCCCTTGCTTGCCATCGCATCCGCTCGTAACTTTTCATACCTGTACCGATCGGTCAGCCTTCAAAAAAAAAAAAAAAAAAAAAAAGGGCGAATCTCGGAATTTTTGTTTTCTCGAAGCAGCTCTGTATGTGTTTTGTTCGCTTGCTTGCTTGCATTGCTCGCGAGTTTGTTGTTCTCGGTCCAGAGAAAAAGAGATAGAGAGAGTGTGTAAGGGCGAGTATTGTGAAATATGCCCCAACAGGTCGGGAAAGGGCCGGATTGGGAGCAGCAGAGAGAGAAGGAAGAGAAACTGGTGGCGGACATAATCGATCGGGTGAAGAGAGAGTGCGAGGCTCAGGGTGAAACGGTGACAAGACGAGGCTACTCCAGGCGGTCCACCGTGATGAACAGCTAAGGAATGGACAAAGAGACGGATAAAGGGAAATCTTGTGCCATATCATCGTCGTACGATGTCCTTCTCGTAACGCGGCTCGAGGAGCGGCGTCGATCAGACGCGCGCGGACCGACCCCTACCGACGTTCGATCTCTCCGCGGTGTTTTGACCCTATATACCTTCGGATAAGCGATGTTCAAGACGTTCGTGTCTTTAGCAGTCACTGTTAAGATCAAATTAGGATTAGTTCGGGACACGTGTTCACAGCGGCGTTCTATGCTCAATTGTTATGTCAAAAGAATACTTCAAATCGACTCTCGACGTAATACGAAAAATCGGTTCCGTACGACAGCGAGAGTGTTCGCCTGACAGAGACAAGTAATTTCCTCGTCGTTTGCGTATTTTCCACAACCTCGAACGAAAACGTCAAGTGAAAATAACCGATGCATAAAACTAGAAACGCGGAATCTCTTCCTCGTCTTCGCTGTATGGTGAATTCGAATTATTCAAACTTCGCCATCGTAAAGTTTCGCGCAACGTAATGGAAATTGCACGGGGAATTTCCGTCGCCTTTCGTTCAAGGACACCAACGACGAGGACGTTGCTCTCGTCAGTCGTCAGTTCGTACTTACTCGATATTCCGTGTCGGCGACGCTCGCGAGGTTGTTGCCTCGTGATCGATTTAAGTCGGGCTGCTTGCGTGCGTAGAGAGGGAGAGAGAGAGAGAGAGAGAGAGAGAGAGAGACGAGCGTCGGGAGGATCGATCGACGATGGTCTTCGATTGCCGAAACTACGAGGACTACGAGGACAAAAGCTATCTAGTCATAGTGTACGCGCGGCCGCGTATATTTTTTTCGTATCCTAAGCGGCCGCGCGTCGGTTGGGCGCGATAACAGAAACCACTGGTGTATTTGCCAGTTTGTACTACGCGCGATTCGAAAAATTACTCGATACCACGGGGCCTGTGAGAGTCCGGCAAAGCGGAACGTGGAACGGAGCGTACGCGCTGTTCCCCTCGTTGAAATTCTCGATCCAATTGTCCCATATCGTTCCTTTGATCTCCGACAAGTTCCGCGGATCTTAATCGCAGCGATAGGCGAACGAAGAAGAACGTAGATTCGGTACGTAGCGATGGAAAAGCTGGTGTTTGACGTCGCTGATTGCTGCGACGATGTGGCTGTCGCTTCGTTTGGTCCTTGGCTTAGTAATGCCGGTTGCTGGAATTTTCAGAATTCCTCTTAGAATTTCATTCGATAGTTTCATGCTCGTGTCGTTGGTACGTAAAATTCGAGCGGAGCAAGCAAAGTTCGTTTCGCAATAAAATAAAAAAAGGCGACATTGCACCAACGTGCATAGATTCGTGAATGCTGGAGGGAAATTGACAGAACAAACGTTGGACAGAGTATACAAGACACGGATCGATAGTTATATTACGGTGTACAAGCGACAGCTTGAAATTAAACAGCTTTCTACGCGAACAATTTCATCGAAAGACAAGGGTTATTAATTTACCCCGTGAAGAGAAGATCGGCATTACCAATCCAAGATCGACGCGATCGTAATTAATTGACGCGAGATGAATTGCGATTCGAGCGTGAGGAGCTCTGTCAACGGGAATCCAGTGCCAAATATATATCTTCCCAGGCGTGCGATATATCTCGTTGCGTATATAAGAGAAAAAAGAAAAAATTAAAAAAAAAAAAGAGAAAAAAATGCGAAATGTTCACTATGATACGCGATGAGAACGATCGTTTGCTCAAAAGTGCAACTGTAACTATTAATTTTCTTCGATTTCCTTCGTTGATCTTTTCTTTTCTTTTTTTTTTTTTTTTTTTTGTTTGTTTGTTACATTCGACGTGTGCAGGTGCTGCGTGTAATATCGCGATCCGCGCAACCATGTGAATACAGCCTTTCTTCCGTGGACAACTAGTCACACAATGGCCGCGTGCGTGAACGTCACGCGTGAAATTCATAGAGATTATATCGGTATACGGGTATATTGATACGTATAGGTCACCGTGAATGACGTCCGCGAAGCTACCATTCGGGAACACGCGTACATCTTCGGAGAAGAACTGAAAGAGATCTTCAGAGCCGTGTTCGAGGACGAAATTTCATCGCGTATAATTCTTGTCGTTGTTTTTCGGCGTAAGTTCATGGTGCTTGAATTACCAGAGGCAGCTACAAATCACGTATCTTCTTTTTTTTTTTTTTTTTAAAAAGAATAGATCGTTATTTTTGTAGAAAAGTTACAAATACAAACTTCAAATCCAAGAAATTACATTCGAAGAAGAAGAGTTGAAAGCTTTCGATCGATCTGTTTGAGGTGCGCGAGTCAAAGAGTGGCCTAGCTGCTGCTGCCACCATCAAATTTTATGGTTGAAACGACAGTGGAGAATATCGTACACAGCGATAAAAATCTCCTCTGTTAGCGACATCTCCGATATATACGGATAGTCGTTAGTTCTTTGGATAGAATAACAATGTGTTTTTCAATACTCTTTAAAAGTATCCTTTGGACGATGGTAAAGACTAACAAGTTTCTGGCAACTACACTTATTAGAGGGATTCGAAACGGCCTTTAACGACCTTACACGAACGTCTTTATACTCGTCTGGAGATATTCCCCACATGCTGCTATTTCTCGTGCAAGAATTCTTATCGCTCGTATGAGTTACTTTTTCTCTCTAGCTTCTTCTGAAATCGCAATTTGTGCCCAAGGCAATAGTCAGCAGGCCATCTTTTATGAAACGAAAAAAATTTCAATCTCAAGTATATATAACAAAGTACGTTTTACGTAAGAATTTCGTTTAAATATACCGCCTAAGCAAGTGAAATTATGCGAACGCGAGCATAAGTGTTAAGCCTAACGTTGGCTTAAAATTTAACTGTAAAATCTATAGTTAGTAAAATTAACGCTTGATAGCCGTTCGAGGAACACCGTGAAATTACGGATTACAAGTTTAAAATTATGCTCGCCTCTCATTGTGTCATGAAATTACGCGGCGCGATAATTACACGCTCTTACCTGACACGCTCGGACAAGTTAGTCGGGCACGGATTAGTGTCGCTAGAAGAACGGTAGATAGAACGAGATAAATAGATTGAAAATATATCTACACTCGTACTCGCGATACGTACGAATAAATATAATATGATATAATGCGCGCTGGCGGTGATTTCACGCGGGAGCATTATATATATATTAATCTTGCTGAATATTCCAAGAAAGTCTGTCCATTTTTTCGAATGTCTCGAAAGTATTTTAATCACTATTTACTTGTTGCGTGTGCACAACGGCGCAACGGCAGAAGAATGAATTGCGTTTCACTCACCAAGTTTTAACCATACGATGAGTTCTTACAATTTAGAGTAGACACGTGTGCGTGGACGCTGTCTCACACGCAGGCGTAAACTGACTAGTAGTTAAGTTCGGTGCTAATCATGGACGACGTGTATGAGTGAATACACGGCGTGTTTTATTATGAATACGATTGCATCAGTTATGTTTCATTTTTTTT